AACAACTCTTTTGATTGTCAAGGATTGATTTTTTATTTCTTCAAGTTTTCAGCTCCTTATATAGACAGACAGAAAATAGTCATTGAAGACAAAAGTTTGCACATGTGAGTTTTGAAAAAGCTTGATCATAAACATTGGAATGTTTCTTGATATGGTTAATGTCGTTGAAAAGACATTTGAATTCTCTTTGCTGCAAGAGAAATTATTCATTACATCCCAATTGTTTGAGCAGATTTTTGTTTGGATTTGAGCAGACAAAATGATCTCTGACTCTGATAGAGTCTTCTTGATACTTACGTTGACTTGTTTTAGAGTCTGAGTCTTCAGAGTCTGGATCCCAAGTTCTAAACCTTCAGAGTCTGGATCTTCAGAGGTTGACTTTCTTCAGAATCTGATTTTTTAAAGTTGGCCTCCTTCAGAGTTTGAGTCTTCAGAGTCTGGTTCTCATATTCTGATCCTTCGGATTCTGCATCGTTTAGCTTCTCTTTAATGTTCATTTTCAATGCCAACACTAAGTTTATATCATAAATTTTAGTTTATGGTCCTGCACACTTATATATGTTAGCATATCCAATTGTTCTTTAAATACTTTGTTATCATCAAAATCTTAAAGATATGATACAAACCAATTTTGTTCCAACGGCCGGTGCTGCTGGGTTGAAGACATGTAATTGGATTGGTTGAATATGTTAAGGTGGTTACAAGCATGGTACTCTTTGAGTAGTGAAAAATGTGTTTGACTTAGAGTCTGTCATTTATCTCTTTGAGGGATAATGTACTTATAGAGGCATCGAGGACTTAAGATTTTTACCTTTTAGACGTGGTCTTAATTGCTCCCTCTTACTAGAGGATGTTATTGACCGCCTATCTTTTCAAAATCAGCAGCGAAATTTTCTATCTTGAATCGCACGTTGGTGGAGCCTCGAAGGCGATTCTCTTGGATTCTCTCTGGGCAGCCCAATAGTTAGGTGATGGCGTCTTAGCTTATGACTTTATCAAATATAACACTACAGGTTAATACATTTTATAATTTAATGTCAAAAAATTATTAATGTTATATATTTTATTGGATAATTAAATACTGAAAGTGATAATAAATTATAAGTAAAATAAGTAGTTAATAATATATATTTTTGTAGTTAATACAATGACAAAATTGATTAATGACACAATCTTATATTTGTGTTATAAAATAAATGTTAAACATAATACTTTTATAAATAATATATTTTTATTTTTAAAATTTTTGCAGAAAAAAATAATATTATTCATCCTATAAATAAAGTAAATAGTGCCTGATGTCAAATTTGAGTAGAAAAGCGGTCATCAACATAGTCAAACATAGTGGCGAAAGTAATACAACTGAATAAAGTCATGTGAAGCACAATAGGCACAAAATTAATTATACTACTTTCACTACCATATGTGTTATTATTAATATAGATCTGGCATGTAGTAAATAAATAGTATCTGGCGCATGGTTGCATCATAGACGGTGTTCAACAATCTGGTGCAAAGCAACAACTTTGGATGCTAAGTTTGTAGTGGACTTGTGGTTGTTTTGAAAATGTAAAAGGAACGGCTATATTTTGGAGGCAGTATCATTAGGATATGGATTCTCCAATCCAAAGTACTGTTACAGAATAGCCTTCCATTTTATTTTTCTGATAAAAAGTTTTCCACGTGGAGAATAAAAAGGGTGACAATAAGAACTGTCACTACAGGGTTTTATTTCATATCAATTGGATTAACTATATATGGAATATTCATATTGTCTGGTGAAAACTCCGTGACTAGGATTGCAATTCGTTCTTTTTTGTTTGATATAAATTATGATTCCTTCCTTATCATCAATGAAACTACGAATTCGAGTTCGACCCATCCAAGCCATGGCCAGAAGAATCTTGTTAACAGTAGGTTCTATTTTTATAATTATAATTAAAAAAATTGTTTTCTATAAAGGAAAATATGTACTATAAAAAAACAACAATCAGGTGAATAAGGACATGGATTATTGAGGCATGCTGCATACAATACTACAATACAAGACAAAGCAAGTAAAAAGCATGAACATGGGAAGTAATAAGATTGTTAAGAATAAAATCAAAACCAAATGCATGTACAACGCACAAACGCCGTTATTGTTAGGTTAAACGTCTTGATTTGGTTTTGAATCGGGAATTTTTAGTAGTTTCAGCGGTGATAATCACTTCGTCTATATATAAAAAAATTCAAAAATATGTTAGGCAAGAAAAAAAGTCAAAAGTAGTAGGTAATAAGGCAAGCAACAAACCATGAGCAGGAAAAACACTATGGAAGAACACAAACAAGGCATTATATGCAACGAGACTTGCATAAGACAAAGTTAATTGACCATTGTCTTTCGTGTGTTTTTGCCTATAAAGATCACGAGTAGAGCAAACTTCAAGAGTAATACAAAGATTTCTTGTTAGAGAGGATAGAGAAAATTACACTGAATTGAATTGGATAAGAGAAAATAAAAGGGTGTCTCTAAAGCTTAGGAACTTGCTGTGTGTCCCTTCACAGGTAAGCTTTGCTACATTGCATTGCATATTGAATATTTGATTGTGGCAATAACAATTGATTGTAAACAATTATGTTTTATATTTTTTTTTTCTAAATTTCTTTCATGACGTCCAACTAAACATTATTGTGTGTTGTTTTTAAATGTTTAATTTTATAGAATTAGAGTTTAGCTTAACTCCCTTCTCTTTCATGATATCCTATCAATCGTTGAACTTTATTCATCCTTACAAAATCGACTTATTAAATGAAGGTGTCGTGGTCCAAATTATCGATATATGATATTAGGTTTTTCCAATACATTTCCTTACGCCCAAATCTATAGGACTTGGTGCACGTATAAAAATAATGGATGGCCAAATAAATAGGCTCTTCATATCATATTAAAATTAAAGTTTAACTTCACTCATTTCTACGAAAGCGATTTGTAAAATGAGAAGCATTCTTTTATATGAATTATTTGTATGTTTTATAACCAAATACTAGTCATATATGGCTAGGTGGTAACGTAGTAATTAATTGTTTCAATAACATAGTTGTTTTGTTTATCAGTATTTTTGAAGCCATTTGATGAGATATTTATGAAGAATAAAAGATGGAAAACAGAGCAAAAAGATAGAGTAGGTTAAGAGGTCTAATGTTGAAGTTTGTGTCGCTAGATCCGTTTCTACCACTTGCAATCATAATGCATAAAAATTAAAGTTTTGATTCCACTGTATCACTTTTTTGAAGCCTACATTACTGCCTTCAACTTTCCATTCTACCCACCATCGCTTCGCCGCATACCTTTTATCGTCAACAAAACTATTCCTTTCTTTTGACAACTATTAAAAAATTCTTATCACTAGTTTTATACAATAAAAATTCAGTTATTAAAATGATCAAACTAAACTCTCTAGTACTTATTACAAAATAATTTTTTTAATTTATTTAAATTATTTATGCCAGATATAATATATGTGAGAGATATTGATTATTTAATAAATTTAAAAATATAGTTTTTTTATAATAGAGATTGAAGGAAGCAAGAAAATTTATGCTAGTATGAGATTGGACTTATAACTTTAAAGTGACGTCTAGAAAACAGATATAAAAAGTTATTGATGTTATTTAATAAAAAAAGCTTAAGTATACTTTTTCCCCCAATTTCACTTATATTCTTAAAATTTCCACTGTCATTTTGGTGCCAAATTTACTAAGGTCACATATGCAGAAATGACATGGCTGGCAGCCATGAAAACTTAAATAATTAATGAACAAATAAAAATATTAATGGTAGAGATATTCAGTATGTAAGGATAAGTGATCGCACATCCGCAAAAAATGGGTCTTTAAGTCCCGATAATCTAGTTCTATGGGTAGCTTTGCAGTGACATTAAATATAGGGACCGATTCAAACCCGTGACATTCCACTTAATTTCCTTTAAATAGTGAAATTTCAGCCACTAGACTATTTGACAAAAAAAATAATAAATGATTGATTAATTCTATTCAAATGTTACAGTCATGCATTTAGTATACTTGTCGATGGAGAAGAAAAACTAAGTTTTGACATTGGATAAATGAATCTTCGAATGGCATTTAAATTATTGATGTAAAGCAATTGAAGCAAAGTTAAAAACAGAACTTAGAAATGGATGTAGAATCAATTCTATATAATTATTTTACTCTCACTACTTCCTAAGCTAATACAAAGCCACCATCAAACTACTGTATTATATAAGCCTAATACAAAAAGATGTGATAAATGATATCTATTGAGCTTGTGTTGTTGTTAAACCATAGGTGAGGTGAGGTGGGGTTGAAGGGTGGATTCTATTGTGGATATTTTCAGTCTTTCACATAACAACTACCCCTCATATAGCCTTTGCTTCCCCATGGATATGTTCCACTCAATAATGCATAGGAATCACTTAAAGATGGACAAAAGAGACTAGATAGAACAATTGGTATAAACATGCACTATTTACCCAACTTTCCCACCATTTCTAATAACAACAACAGAAACAGTACTCACAAATTTTTATCCACATCTTTCAAGCGAGGATTTCTAATGGTAGAATCTGAAGTTAAAGGCATTGGAAGATTACTGGGGAAAGAAAATAGACATTAATGTCCCCCCACAATAGATCTTTCCACCACTATATAAAACCTCACAACACAAGCATCAAACTCACCATCTTAGTTTACAAGCCATTGTTAAACTACTATAGCAGTATCAAACTGTTAGTGTGTGACTCTTCTCTTATTCGTAATCTTTCTTGAAAGGTAAACTTTGTGTTTCTATGTTTGTCATTTGCATCTTAGCTATTTTTCTTCTGCATGGTTGTTATATGTAGCTTTCTTGATAAATGTGAGTGTCTCATGGTTCATTCATCTTTGAAACTAGGATATTAATAAAACCTAAATTCCTAAAGACTTATCACTTCCTATGTTTATCTAAATCAAACAGGAAAATGAGCTGGTCTGGAGGAGATTGGTTGTGTGGTGCTTGCGAGCACATAAATTTCAAGAAGAGGGAAGCATGCCAAAGTTGTGGGTACCCCAAGTATGGAGGCCCTGACCCATCAACCTATAGATATAGCAGGACTGAAACGTTGGCAGGGGATTGGTTTTGCACCGCTATGAACTGTGGAGCTCACAACTATGCAAGCAGATCCAACTGCTATAGATGTGGTTCATTTAAAGATGATTATTCTTCTGGATATGGAGGTAACATGGCCGGTTCTAGAGGATATGGTTCTGATTGCAGTTCTCCACCGGGATGGAAAAGTGGAGACTGGATTTGCCCAAGGTTAGTTCATATTATCTTTCATTAAGTTTTGACTTTTGAGGGCTGAAATAACATCTATTCTTAAAAAAAAGTTATAACTGTTAATTGAAAAAACAATAATTGAAATTTGAAGTTCATGGTTTGTTATGCATGTGCATTATGCATGTGCGAGTACTTTATAAGTTATCACTATCTCTACCCTCCGAAATCGTTTTTTCGCAACAGCGGTTGTTCGATAGACTTTGCATTCAGTTAAAACTTAAGAGACCACCAATCATATATTACCTAGATCTCCATTATTATAAAGGTGAACAGTGTAATTCAGTAAACAAGTAATTGATATACTCACAATAGCGGCATTTTCATGCATTGAAGGTGCAATCTCCTTTTCCTTCCTCCCAGAGAACGAAAGAATTATATTCGGCCCTTGCACAGTAGTAACATATAGTGATGATTAGAACAAAGGGAACAGTATTTTTGCATTACAAAGCAACATATGGTTAAAATTAAGAATAAAGACCATATTGATAATCATAATACAGATGATGGTAATTCTTTTTCAAAGAAAAAAAACAAATAATAATAATATAGACAGTGGTCAATATAAACAAGTTCAGTTGATTTTATTACACACGAGAAGAAATATGATACAATAACCTGTATCCAAATCATTCCTAATTTGTGTATCTTAGTTTTATTTACTTTTTATAATGTAACAGAACTGGCTGTGGAATGCATAATTACGCTAGCAGGACAGAATGCTACAAATGCAAAATGCCAAGGGATTATGGTATGAAAAGTTTAGTCTTCTATAACTTTTTATCGTTATTTTTAAATATCGTCAAGGTGTTCTTTAGAAAATGATGTCTATCCTCAGTTCCATCGTATTTATTACTATCGTTTGTTTCAGGTGGTGCTGACTGAAAGTAAAAGAGTTTCAGAAGACTTGCAGTATCACTTACATCCCTCAGCATCTTTCTCCATCAAACGACATCATATTTAGCTTTCCACATGTCTAACTCTAGATAAATCATGGATGAATAACCTTTGTTAGAATCATAGCAATGTTTTATCATTAGGAAGTCATCCAGCAGTTATAGTATCTTGCTAAATGTACTAACAAGAAGGTTATGAAATCCACGTATATTTTCCATATTCGTTACTGAGATGATTAAGCTTTTGAATTACGTTAATGATAGCCAAACTTTCCCTTGTTAGCTTCCCGCAATTCAAATGTAAATGCACATGAATACTAGCCTCTGTGTTAGCCACACACGTGCACATAACCTAATGCACTATATAACAGCAGAGATGCTACATGTACATTGAAAATAAATTAAATAAATTTGCTTTCACTAATTAACTTGTCGTGGTGCATCGATGCCGTCTTAATGCTAAATTTCAAATCATGCAAGATAGCTTCATTGACTTAACATTGATTTTTAAAAGTCAATGTTAAGTCTAAAAGCATTTATATGTTCTTTCTGACGGTGCCTTATTAAGCTATTATTACTACTTAGCTTTCAAAATATTCTGGACTTTCTTTAAGCTACCTTTTTATTTACATGCCCTGAGAGTGTTAAGAGAAGACCCCACTTTTAGTGAAATAATTCCCTCAGCATATTGAAGGGATCCAAAGAGATGGACTGGACCAGCTATCACATGCATAGCATATCCTTTCAGGGTATCCTCTCCTCTTCTAGGAACAAGATGAACTGGATTAAGGAAATAAATGAAACCATTTAACTATATCCCCAGCAAAGTTTTAAAAGGACGATTAGTTACTCTGAAAACGGCTGCAACAAAACCGTATTGAAAGATGCTGATACCAATACCGTTTATTCACAGATTTTGATGATGATAACAAATTGTGGTTATTTCTCACACCGCCACTACCGCGGTCAGTGTAACAACACTTGTACAGACCGAAATCGCAAAACCATTCACTGTTATTTAAAACTAGGTAAGTAGGTTATGCAAAACGGTGAAATGAAAAATAAGAAATAGAACATTCAGTTTCAAGAAACATTCTAAAATTTGCAAATTCATTTTACTTTGACTAATTTTCAAACGTAAAATATAAAATGTAACATTCTAAATGAGTTCGGTTACCGTTTCTGGCTGCTGATGACCGAGTCCGGCTGAGTTTACCGGCCAGATGAGTTGAGTGCGACTCCGACGACTTCTGACCAAAGTAACAGCGTCCAGTGGACGGGCCTCTTCAAAATGAATTAGATCGGGCTTGTGACTTTAGTTTGTTGAAAACTTTAGCCCACCCCTAGATTTACAGGATTTCTTTTTTCCACTTTAATTTTTTCTAGTGCATCAAGCACGACAAAAATATCTCTAAATATCAAAAATATATTTTTGGAATTTATTAAGATGTGATAAAATATAGGTTAAAATCAGAATTTAAATTCTGGTTTGTATTCGAACTTATATTTTCGATTCTATTTTTGTCTTTTCAATAGAGTGGAATCGCATTTGATCTGTTTTTGTGTGGTGTATAATGCACACCGAAAATAAATTTTTAAAAGACATTTTATAAATTGCGTAGGATTTTCATTTTCACTATAGAGTAGAAGAAAAAAATTCTACATTTATCCTTCACTCCTACATCCCTACAATTTTGAAAATATTTCAATTTTATCCTTTCAACATATCAACTAATTTATTATTTTATTTTTATCATCTCCTCAAATTTTTTAAATTTTGAAGGATTTTGCACCCCACATAGATTTATCGGATACCTCTGCTCAAAAGAATCCAGTACGATTCTTTTCTTTATCGGAGAATTTTATTGCTATGTTTTTTTATTGTATTTTTTATTTTTGGAGAACTTGTTTTAATGCTCTCCGGTTTATAACATGTACCGGATAACTCGGTGTAATATTATTCGGTGAATTTTGTCTTATGTATTAGAAAACTTGATCTAGAGTAATCCGGTAGTCTTTTTTTTAAATTAACTTTCTTTTCATGTTGTAAATATGGAAATCTCTTTACACGATAAAAATCATATATGTGTAGATACCATATGTTGTATCCCAAAATTTGTCCTCTCCTTTCTCAAGACTTTTCTCACAAAGATCTGTAAAAGCTCAAGCTTGCACAAAGATTGACTAGGTCAAGACATCTCCTCAACACTAATACCTTAAAATTAGGGTTTGAGCTTGCACAAGGACAATTAGACTTCTAATACTTCAAATGACTTCCATGGATCATTATGGACCTTCAAGAATGCTCATGTCAAGTTTCAAACCTTGTACCACAAATTATACTCAGTCAATTGACCAGGCGACCAAAAATCAGTTGTACTAACAAAAAGTCAACTGATACACTAAAAGTCAAACTTTAACTTTTTGGTCAACATTAAGTCCCAAAGATCAAATTCATCAAGACATTCAAAAATATCAAGTTTGATCATCAAAAAGTCAAGAAAGTCAAAAGTAATTTGAAAAGTCAAACTTTTCAAGACTTAGAAATTTTTTTAAGTGTCTTAAACATGATAATTTCTTAACTTCATATCAGTTTTTCACCATGATGCAAGATGATTCAAAGGAAACTTTCAATATGAAAGTTGTAGATCTTGATGAATTCTACAACTTTGTATTAGAGGATTGATGTCCAAAAAATGCTTAGATTTGAAGATATAAGCCCATGAAGACATGACATTTTCATCTTGCACTTAGAGAAATTTTCAACAGATTTTGGTTAGGATTTTATCCTAACTTCTTGGCATTTTTTCACATAGTTCTAAGAAGATTTTGTCAAAATGGTCAACATGAAAGTTATAGAGGATGTTTCAAGCTTTCTAAAACATCCAAGAGCATGAATTTATCATACTTGAGCTAGGAGATTCAAGGGTATGAAGTTAGGCATCCATCCTTGAATTGCAAGTCCTTTTGTTGAAGAACACATAACAAAATCCTTATGCTATGCTGCATAATCTTATGTTGCAGGCCTTCTAACTTTCCAATCTCACCATAATTTAATGCTTACACCTACTCTTGAGTTATTATCCAAGTGTTTGAACCATTGTCTAAAAGATCTTTCCATTTATGGCATAAAGGCACCATTGTTATTCTTGAAAAGCAAGTCTTTTGGTACAAAGTTTGTCTTGAGCCCATACCTTGTCTACTTCTGATTTTACTCCACCATAAATCATGGAAGGTAGCTCCTATATATCAGCAACTTTAGTACTTCATCTTGGGACCATGGAATACTTGACATAGTTTTATATTTGCATCCCAATAAAACTATAACATGTTGTCTTGTAAACCTAATCAGCCCTTGTTCACCAACCCTTTGCCTAAAAATAGATGGAGCATTTGCAAGAGAAAGAGGTCAGAAAAATAGAGAGAAAAGCCAGAAGTGTTGTTGTGTAGACAAGCCCTCAAAATCTTACACCTTCAAAAAGCCATAATTGTCCATAAAGCTTCCACTCTTGAGCTTTGAAATCCAAATCCTTGAACCTCTCACACCTTGAAAGTTTTGTCCAAACAAATCACCCAAGCACTTCACATACATCATATAGAGGTTGTTCAAACATAAGAACAACTTTTGTAACATCATTATTTTCCAAGCTCAAGAACAGTCAAGACAATAACTCAAAGCTCAAAGCACAAATTCCATCTTCAAGGTAAGTCTTCTTGACTTTGAACTCTTCATACAAGCATCATTAGTGGTTCATTTGTGAAGATAAAATGTAGATATCATTGTCTTGAAGCTAACCATATGCTTATCTTTCATTTTCATTAACCATGTGTTGAGAACTAACCCATGTATGCAGCAAAACAATGTTGGAGTGAAAAAATTACAGTATGAGTCGACACATACATATATGAGTCGACACATGTTAGTGGAAAAACAGGTTATGAGTCGACACAAAGCCTTATGCGTCGACACATACTGCTATACAGGCCCAAAATAGAAGAAAAAAAGGGTGTATGAGTCGACACAAAGCACGAATGTGTCGACACATGCAAGGTATGAGTCGACACATACCATTATGCATCGACTCATACTGAGTTGATTTGGTATTATAGGGGAAAGGGAAGGTTATGTGTCGATGCATATAAGCATGTGTCGACACATAATGTTAAAAAATTTTGATTTTTCCTCTCTTTTACACTATTTTTACATATTTCACATATTTTCTTCATAGCTATTCAATATGGTTGTAATATTTAAGCTCCTATTTCATCCCCATTCATAAATTGTATTCTCCATCCCCCTAATGATGTAATAGTGTAGGATTTTAATTTCCACAAATTTATCATTTTTCATATAATTGTTAGTAATTAGGATGTGTATGGCAAGATAAAATCAATCTTAGACAACCCTAATCCAAGACAAAATAATGCATGAAAAATAAATACTTGCACACTTTGCACCTCTAGGGTTAACTCCACTTGTTGCCTTGAGAATAAATGGTTATGTTATGCATGTGAGATACCTTAGCAAAAAACAACCAAAAATACAAGATCATAGTCCCTCGATGATGCTACGAATGTTGGCTTACAAATGATCTTAGTCCCTTAATAAAAATGCTAAGGTATCTCACAATATTGTTATCTTACGACTATACGATGACCCACGCTCGTCCATTCACATCCAAAGATAGGGCTACTTACCAATCAATGGTTAGATAGCAATGTCAAAGGAAGAGAGAAATAAACAAAAGAATTTTGAGTAGGTAGAACGTTCTTAGTTGCTTGCTCACAATCCATCTCCAAAAATAAACATCTTTTCAAAAGTACAACACTTTGTATGCATTCTTATAGAGACGAGAATCATTACAAAGTTTTCCTAAATAAAGGCGCTTTTAAAAAATACTTTCAAACCCCACCACAAACACATTTCAAACAAAGCAATTTCAAAAGTGATCTAGAAAGCAACTAAGAGCCCATAGATAACTATGGATG